ATTTTTTTTTCTGTTGTTTGCTCATTTTCCCAATCTATTTCTTGATTTTTAATTCTTCATTAAAGTAAGGCTCTGCTTCCAGGGTGGAGGGTACACTGTTGCAAGCTTCAGGGGTTTTGTGCAGATGTTTTCAGAGTTACTTTTAGGGACCTATATGTTTTACTACCCTCCTGGTCTGTGCTCTGGTCTGAGTAACCACAAGTACTCTTTTATGCCCTGGAACTGTGAGGAGGGTCCCCTCTCCACTGTGGCCACAAGCTTGGAGTCCTACTGCTCCCCCTCACCCTAGGACTATCATCCAGGACTGTGACCTTGATACAAGCATAGGCAAAGCAACAAAGTCCTGCCTCAGTGCTATCAAAGAGACCCCCTGTAATCTCCTTCTGAAAACCCCCTTACCATCTGTTGGTTAAAAGCTCTGGAAGCAGCTGCTGCTGCTACTGATTCAGTGGCTCCCAAGGCCTGCTCTTGGTTTGATGGGGCTAGGGCTGTGCTGGCATGGCCTGCGTGGAACTGTGTTCCACTCTCACCCAGGTGCGACAGACCTCTCCAGCTGACCTTCTAAGTTGTCTTTCACTGGAAAATAATTTCACCCCATGCTTTTGTGGGTTCTGCTGCTCCAGGAATTGTTTTATGGTATTATTTAAAAGTGTTTGGAGATGTTTTGGGGAGAACTCAGGTGAGTCATTGCCTTTTCTCTGCCATATTGTGTACATATGCATTTCTTGAGGACACAGGATATGCTGAAGGTTTTGTGGACCTATAACTCATTAATCAACACAACAAAAGTCTACCTAAATACTCTTTTCCTTAGAATAGAATCTCTTTCAAGGCACTTTCATCTGGGAACTCATCTAAACTGCTATACTGAAGTACCAAAAGTATTTAATTATGAGGGTGTTATCTTTCCATAAACCTATAAGGTAGTCTTACAGTATAGATCCTAAGGATAACATGATATGGAAGCACTAATTTATTATAAGGGAATAAAAACAGTTCCTGTCTCTCTACACTATTTCTAATTGCTTTCAATTATTTAAAAATGTTATAGTTCTTATAGCATAATATTACATATAAATGCCCAACATTGTCAAGGATACTATCCTAATATCACAGCAGATAGGGGAGGAGGGTCAGTTCGAGAGGGCACCAGCTTCATACAAGAATACATTTTAGTTCCCTGGGGAGAAGAGGGAAGTACAAAAAAAAAATTTTATCAGTTGAAACCATTTGAACTTTATTTTGTCTGCTTGACCTATAAAGTCAGAAGTTCAATACCAGCTAACATCATTCTAAGTGAAATATAGATAGATAGATAGATAGATATAGATATAGATATGTAGATATATTTTAAATTGAAGGGCAAACTATGAACTTTTGAAATTTAAAATAATTCTTATTCTGTTAAAAATTTTTCCCAATATAAAGATAATTTTTCTAACAATCAAGCCAGAAGGCCTAATCACATTATGCTAACCACTAATATAGGTCCTGAAGATATCTCAAACTCACCATGTCCAAATCAGAATTCATTATCTTTCCCACCCTATCCCACACCCCAAAAAAACTCACCCTTATTCCAAAATTCCCTATTTCTGTTGAAAGCATCATCATTCTCCCAGTCTCCCAGGTTTATAACCTTGGCATTATACTCTACTTTTTCATTCTCCTTCATCTCATATTCAGTCAGTTGCCAAATCTTGCCATTTCTACTTCTACAAACAATTAGGTTACATAGTGGATAGAATGCTGGATTTAGAGTCAGAAAGATTTGAATTCAAATCCTGCCTCAGAGACTTACTTAGTTGTACATTAGCAAGAACATTAACTTCTGTCTGCCTCAGTTTCCTTTTCTGTAAAATGGGGTTAATAATAGCACCTACTTCACAGGGTTATTGTGGGGATCAAATAAGATAACATATGTAAAGCACACTGCAAACCTTAAAGTGCTACATAATTCCAGCCCTGTCCCTGATTTTATGGATATTAAAGCCTCTATTGCTGTCTCATCATGGAACTTTCTTTAGTGCATTGGGCCTTCCTCCCCCTGGAACATCCTATCACACCTATGGCCTGCTCAGTCCAGTCACTCAATAAACATTTGTTAAGTGCCTTCTATGTTCAAGCACTGTGTTAAGTGCTGGGTATACCAATACAAAAACAATCCCTACATTCAAGGAATCGTGCTGAGCTCCTTCTTTAAACAATGGCCCTGGAGCCCATGGCCCTACCTTCCAATCAGAGGGGCAGAGAGTACTGAGGAGATGTGAGTACAAGTGAGTACCAGGCAGGTTCAAGGAAGACCCAATGGAGACTTCCAAAGAAGTCCAAAAGCAGTATGTTGTCTTCAGTCATGTCCAACTCCTCATTATCCCTTTTGGAGTCTTCTTGGCAAAGATACTAGAGTGGTTTGCCATTTTCTTCTCCAGTGGATTAAGGCTAAGTGATTTTCTCAGGGTTACACAGCCAGTAATTGTCTGAGGCCGAATTTAAACTCAGATCTTCCTGACTTCTGGCCCAGCGCTCTGTCCATTGAGCCACTTAGCTACCTCAAAAGTAGTATAGCTGGTGGGAAATGGAGAAATGCTCATGCTAGAATATCTCACCATGGGACTTAGCCCCTTACCCCCATTGGTGAGTTCCTCCTAGAACCTTCACTTTGTGGACAGGCCCAGAATGGGCTCCTCTCATTCCACGCCTATCTTCTTCTTGACTTTCTAAACATCAAATCATATCCCTGTGCCTAGTACCTTCACTTTCACCTAAACCACCCTGCTCCCCAACTTTTCAGTTCCCTTAGCACAGTGCCTGGCATATAACACTTAATAAGTTTTTCCTCAGATTTCTGGGCATGGAGCCAAGATGGCAGAGTAGAGAAAGCACTCATCTGAACTTTCCCGACACAGCCCTCCCAATAGTGCCTCAAATCTCTGGAGTGGGAGAACCGACAAAAGGTCAGAGTGAGACATTTATTGTTAGGTACTCTTCTAAGCAAGGGCATTTAGGTGGCACAGTGGATAGAGTGCTGGGCTTGGAGTCGGGAAGACTTGAGTTTAAATCCAGCCTCAAAAACTTCCTAGTTACCCTGGGTAAGTCACTTAACCTCTGTTTGCCACTGGAGAAAGAAATGGCAAACCACTCCAGTATCTTTTCAAAGAAAATCCCATGGACAGAGGTCCATAGGGGTCAAGAAAAGTTGGATAGGATGGAAAGGACTGAACAGCAACAGCATTTCTAAACACCAGAAACACAAAGAAAGGTAAAAACTATGCCCACACTCTGAAAGAGATAATGCAAATAATTAGTTGCTTACAAGAGATATTCAGAATAGATGGAAGGAAATCTCAGAAGGGAAGACAGTTTCTCGGGGGACTGGGAAAGGCTTCCTGCAAAAAGGATGACAGATACTAAATAGTGGAGAAGAGAAGGAAGTGCAATCTAGGCATGGAAGAGAGTTAGTATAAAAGAATAGAGTGGCAAGTGGGAGGATTAGCAAGTAGGTCAAGGTAGCTATAGAGAAGAGTAGGTAGATGAGAATAAAATGTCCAAAGGCTAGGATACAGGTAATGAAAAATCTTAAATGCCAGAAGAGTTTGCATCTGAACCTAGTTGTAAGAGAGGAACCACTGGCATTTACCAAGTAGGTGAGTGAATGTTAGATCCATACTTTAGGAAAATCACTTTGACAGCTGAGTGGAAGACAGATTAGAGACAAAAAGACCAATTAGAAAGCTATTGCAATTGCAGATGAAAGGTGATGAGGGCCTGAACTAGGGTGGTACCTATGCGAGTGAAAAAAAGGGGACATATATAATAGGTGTTAAAGAGGTAGAAACACCTAGGTTTCACAATGGAATGGATATGTGAGGTGAGTGAAAGTAAGGAAGATATTGAGGTTCTGAACCTAGAACACCGGGAGGATAGTTAGAAAAGGGGAAGGCTTGGGGGAAAGGTAATTAATTCTACTTCTTGAATTTGAGATGCATGTAAATCTTCTAGGTTGATATGTCCAAGAGGCAATTGGTGATGAGTTATCTATGAAAATTTTTAAAAACTCATTATGGCTGAAAACCTGTATGTAAAAATTTGAGTATAATAATAGCTGACATTTATATATAGCTCTTTAAGGTTAGCATAACATTTTACTTTCATAATCTCCCTTGATCCTCACAACAGTCCTGTGAGATAAGTGCTAGAAATGTTGTTATACCCATTTTCCAGGTGAAGAAATAAATGTTCAGAGCTATAGGTGTCTAAAGCAGGATTGGAACCAAGGATTCCTGGTACCAAGTGCATTATTCTTTCCATTATACCATACTGCTTTGGCAGTTATGACCACTCATTTGAGCAATGTTAAATGTTCTGTTGTCACCTAACACAATTTTAATTATAGGGGCCCCTCAAACCTCAGACACTCATTCACATACCTTATAAAGTGGTTTGGGAAGGAATTACATGAAGAGGAGAAATAACTTTTTACCCCAATGGGAAAAAGCACTGGAAAAAGCATTCCTAAGATGAAATAAAATATTTCTAAATAGACATGAAATGAGCTAATAATGGTCAACTAATACTTCTTGGTAGCTTCTGGCATAGCAGCATTACAGCATTTGTCATGATGACAACTAATACTTGTCATTTCTACAACCTGAGAAAATGAACCAGTTCAGAGAATAAACTATAATTAGTTCTTCGAGCTTCTTTGATGTCCACAACAACAGAAAGATATTAAAAAACAAATAAGCACGGAAAGAAGAGCCGTAGAAAGTCAACTGAGTACATGTTTGATTGCATTGGAAACTATCCTGTTTATGGAAATCTTTGGGTAACTAAAACAGGAAAATTCTGAAGGTTGCTGCCACTTGCAATTAAAGGGTGTGTTAAGAGTATAAAAAGTTGTATTTTTACTAGAAACATTCTGAGTTTTATCTTCCTGTTTTGACTACAGGCCTCCTGACGAAGGGCCTGAGGTGTTATAAATTATCCCATTACTCACTCACCTCAGGTATCCCTGCTGGACAGAGCAGGAAGGAAGTAAATCTTGGAGTCCTGCACTTATATTCTTTAATCACATACATGCTTGCCCTTCAAAGTACTAAATCATTGTCTTTTCCTGGTCTGCAATGATTCATGCCTGAAACAGAGAGGAGAGGAGACAAGCTCTCAGAAATGCCATGCCAAAGGAAAAATAACTTTGTATGTTTTTCAATAATCATTAGGCACACCAATGCTACATGTTTTTCAAGTTGGCATTTGGGTAAGTGTATCATTCCAAGGACCAATAGTCCATTCTATGGATATACTCCATAGATTGTTGCCTTGTAAACTAAACATTTCCAGACTCTATGCCAATTTTTAAACTCCATTAAATCTTAACATCTATATCAAGTTAGATAACTTGGAGATGTCTTCAATTGGTGGAATTGGCCAACTATTGATGCCTATTTTCTTATAAACATCACTAGGCAGAAATATGATCAATCATGTGTTTTAAGATGGGACCCAAGTTTTTAAAATATTGTGTCAAAATTACTCAAAGAAAAGAGTTAATGATGCAGGCACACCAGAGAAATATATCTCTGAAAAAAATATCCTGAAGGTCTCTGGTCTTCTATTTATGATTTATGTTACATGGATATAACATATGTTCTTAATGTAGATCAATCAATTTACAAGCATTTATTAACTTCTTGCTACATTCCAGGCACTGTGGCAAGCACTTGGGGGTACAAAGACAAAAATGAAACCTGTTCTCAAGGAGCTTACAATCTAATGTGTACATATGTGTGTGTGTGTGTGTGTGTGTGTGTGTGTGTGTGTGTGTACAAAATAGATATATCATTCTGTGGGGTTTGAAGAATAAAGGATCAGCAAAGGCTTCTTCATAAGACATTATGGTTAGGAATAGTCAATGAAAGGCTGAAAGACAATCAGTCAAATAACATTTATTAGGTGCCTACTGTGTGCTAACCACTGGGGATTCAAAGGAAGGCAACACACCATCCCTGCTCTCAAGGAGCTCATAGTATAATGAGAGAGACAACATGCAAACAGCTAAGTTCAAACAAGACATAGGAAATAATGCACTAAGAATAAGGAGGACTAGGAAAGGCTTCCTTCAGAAACTGGGACTTCAGCTGAGACTTAAAGGAAATTAGGTAAGCCAGGAGGTAGAGAGGAAGAGGGAGAGTATTCCATGCAAGAGGGACAGCCAATGAAGAGCTCTGAGTTTGGAGAGATAAAGGGTTTTATTTGAGGAACAGAAATAAGACCAGTATTACTGGATCACAGTATATGAAGGAGATTAAGTCTTAAGTAAGAAGACTAGAAAAGTAGGAGGGGACCAGGTTATGAATGGCTTTAAAAGCCAAACAAGATTTTATATTTAATCTTAGAGGTAATGGGGAGCCATTGGAATTTATTAAATGGCAGTGTGGGGTGAGGGTTAGATCTTTATTTTAGGAAGATTATCACAGACTGAGATTAAACCCCCTGTTTTGGTTACATAGGCACACATTCAAAATGTTTGCTCTTTTATATGGATGGACATTTTTTTCTCCCTGTTTGGACTTTCCCTCTCAATACACAACACACTAACTGCCTGGCTTCCATGTGTCTTGTCTGGCCAAAAGAGAAGTGCATGGTCAGTGGTTTTAGTGACATTTAAATATCTATGGTTGTAGAGATAAGAGCAGCTCCTAGTTCTTGCCAAGCAGATGCCCAAAGCCAAAGGAATAAGGCCAAGTGACAGAAAAGACTTCCTGCAAGTTTTACTAAACTTTTTTGTTGAGTTTGCACCGTAACTATCAGCTGCTCTTCAAAACTGCCAACTGGTTTCATCAGATTTGATATTAGATCAATAACAGAATAATAACTATACCATGGTCTCCCAGCTATAAGATTGATGAGATTGATGAGTGAGTGCTAATGAGCACTGTGGCCACATGGTTTATTTTTTTTTTTTTTGCATTTGCCTCTTTGACCTTAATTTTATTTCATTCCAGGGGCTGGAATCTAGTTCATCTTGGACTGAGAAATCCATTATGAAAACCTTTCAACAAGGACCAAACCAGGCTGTCTCCTGTTTATATCAAGAGCCTTTTCAGCAAAATGACCACAAAACAACACCAGATTCAAAAGTGACTGAGAGGAGTCATTTGGAGAATATGGGAGAATAAACAGCTAGATCATCTGGGAATATGTATATGACCACAAATCATTTAAAAATAAACTACTGTCCCTCCATTTAGATAGTATGATGAAATTATTAACAGAAGGGAAAAAATAAGCACTCTACTATTTTAATATTGTTGCGTTACATATGGGTTTTAAAAGGCTCCTAATATGAGTCTCTGTGTCTATCTCTTAGGAGCCAAGCTCTTGTAAAGAATGTAACGAATTATAGCAGTGAATTCAAATATCTAAGAAAGAATCTGTTATCTAGACTTCTTTAGAGATTGATTAAAATAAAAGAATGTCTTTTGACTTACCAGTTGTGCTCTGGAAATAGAGTTGAAATAAAATCTTAACTTGAATGTGCGTACACACAAATATATATAATTATCTATAACTACCTATATATGTATATACATATACACATACATATAGAAATGTTCCCCAGTAAGCCTATCTTAGCTCATGTTTGACATCTAGATGACAGCATATGAATATAACACATTACCCTTTCTCACTGTTAATCATAGTGATATGAATCCCACTATAAAATATGAGTCCTGTGCTACTCAACCCCAGCAGTGCCATGAATTATTTTTAAGGGGCAGATTTTTTTTTTAAACATAGTAGTCTTGTTTTTACCACCAACTGTAAAATCTATATGAATGGAAGGAAACTAAGCATAGTCAACATTTCCCTAGCTATCACCAGGATTGGCAGCAAATTTCCCTGGACTCTAAGAACAATACAATATAAGCCACAGGTGACTGTGCTCATCAGATATAAAGTGTCCAAAGATTAAGTCATAGCAGTATATACTTGAATCATATCCCAACTTCACTTAAATATAAATTCAAGGAAGTATTTTAGCAAAAAAAATGTGTATGTCAGAAAAACAGGTGACACTCTTTTCAAAAATGCTCTTTTAGAAATCTCAGGGATTTGTGCTATCCCAAAGCAGTGGATACAAATTTCTAATGTTCTCAACATAGTCCTAATGTAGATTAGTGGCTCTGCTCATCTTTTATCTTTATGGAGAGCCTAAGGAGCCCAGGAAATGATTCAAAGAAGGAGACAAAAAGAACAGAAAGCATGAGACTTTCTATTGGAAACAAAATTATCTTCTATCTCCAGGATAGAGAGGACATGAGCTGCTGACTTGCCCTGATCTTTCCTTTGCTCTAATCTTGTAAGCTTCCAGAGGAGATGAGCGTGGGATGTAGGAAAGTGTAGGGAAGTGGGCAGAGGATAGGTGCTTGAGAAAACAAGGAATTCCTCCATTTCCTTATACCACAAACAGTTGATGGCAACTTGAGATGGAAGTGCATGGGAGAGTTAGACTCAAGTCCTGAAAGGACAGATACCGAAGGCACTTTCCCAGTCTAAGAAAGAGCTGGGACAATGATAGATTTCCAGCAGGAGCACATGGCATAAGCTGACATCGATGTTGATGTGGTCCAAAATGGGAAGTTCATGGACAGTGCTCCTGAACTTCAGTATCCTATGTTGAGAAAGGGGAGTTCTTTGTTTCTGGGCTTCATGGTCCCAGAACTTAACCTTCTATTAAAGAAGATGGTTATCACCAGCCTTGGGAGTTTGCCTTGATGGTAGTCTCAAGTTTGAGAGTCCCCAATTGTGAAAGCATTCAAGTTCAAGAGTTCAGAAATCCAAAATCTGGGAAAAGAAGACAAATGCTTAAATGCTAAGCAGCATCCTTCTTGAGAAAGGAGAGGTCTATACACATAGTTACTGAACAGCATCCAACCTTGGAGAAATAAGAGCATTGCTCATGCATGTCTACTGCATCTGAAGGGCTAAAGCCATATCAGGGATGTTAGAGAGATCACAGATGGGCCTTTGCCACTCTCTCTCTCATGGTGAGGTATTTCCAACCCATATAGGGTCACCACAGTTTAAGAAGTACTGAAGGGGTCACAGGGGGAAAAAGTTTAAGAAGCCCTGATTTAGAGAGTAGTGGTCCCAAAAGAAGGGATACTACAATTTAGGACCTCCAAAAAGTGAATTTCTTTTCCTACATAGTCCAAGACCTCAACAGATTCTCTGTGGGATTTAAGGAAAATTACTAAAATATTGGAACTACTATGTGTGTGTGTGTATGTGTTTTAAGCTATCTATGGGCATCTATGAGTCTTTGAGTATTGTTTGTGTTTTCTCTATCTGTTGACATGGTCCACTGAGTTCTTTGCATCTTCTGCAGGTTCTACGGGATTCAATAAAGGCTATCTTAGCCAATATGCATTAATTACATTGAGTGTTTACTTGGAAGCTTGGGTTACCGTTTTTCCATGTTTGGAGAATCCTAGACACAAGATATTTTACTTCAGAGATTACCCCAGAACAAACACTAAGGTTGTGGAATAATTGCTGAAGACAGAGGACAACCCTCTGGCTTTGGTCTCGGAGGCTGAAAATAGTCCATGAGAATTCAGAGTCTTGGAGGGGGCCTGTGCCTCAGGTGAAATTAATTGAAGCTTAATCTCATTAATCAAGAGGTCCATTTAATCAAATGATTAAGTGTATTTGGTGTCCAAACTTAAAATGGAAAAAATTAAAAATAAGTTATATTTTATATTTTATTTTAATAGCTATAATGAGTTTTGTAGGTATGAACAAAAGAAATTAATATTTTAACATGTCTTATCACTCACTTGCAAATATCTGTACATAAAGATAGCTCACATTTATGATGTACATACAAAGCACTTTCTTCATGGTCACATGCACAAGGGAAGACTGCAAATACAAAATGCTCTGTTTAGCATTGAAAGACTTTCAAGACCTAGCCCCCATCTTCCTTTCTAGTCTTCTTACATCTTACTCCCCAACATATACTCTTCCATCCAGTGTTACTGGTCTCTGGGCTGTTCCATGAACAAGACACTCCATCTCTTGGCTTTGGGCATTTTCTCTGCCTGTCCCCAATGCCTGGAATGCTCTCCC